TTCCTGGTATTTTGCTGTCTGAAGACGTTCCTGGGTCCTTTTCATGCTCTAGGAATAGTTAGGTCCCCTGTGGCTGCTGAAAGCCCCAAGGGAATAGCACAACACACCTTTGTCACCTCTCTTTAGAGAATTTCTGAAATTCTTTTCATCATTTTTATTGCCTTTCGTTTTGGTCAGCAGTCCCATTAGGCAGGACTGAATTAGGCTCTCACTATGTAAGGAGATAATTGAATGGGAAGGGAGTCGATGCTGACAGGCTCCTACTTTCTTGTTTATTATTTCTTTCATTTCTGCATTATTCTGCTGACCGTGACACTTCTAGATATTGGATATAATTATAGTCCTGCATCTCCCGAGGTGGAAATATTTAAATTTGGATACCTGCTTTCCATAATAATGAATTCTCTGTTTAGGGAAAGCGAGCAGGTGGGGAGGGGAAGAGATCCACCGCGAAGCCTAATGCTTGGCAGAAATGAATGCTACCTTTTCCCAGTAAAAATTCTCCAGCCTTTACTCTTCGGACTCGGTCCTGGAGATTCCTGGGCTCTTTGGTGGGAATGGGGTTGGCAGGTCTCTGTTAAGTAAATAAAGGGTGTCCCTGTCTGGAGGGGGTCCTGCAGCCCTAATAGGAACTTCCTCCTTCTCTCAAGGGTAAGAGGCTCTAGCCCAGAAGAGCTGGCCAAGTCGAGCCCTGACTGGCCAATCCCTCCTCTCCTGGGGTCCTTCCATTCAACCACACCTCTTCCCCCCAGGGGCCCCCACCATGATATAAGTTTCATACTTCTTGCCGGGATGAAAGCAGTGACCTCCAACTGGTTCTTGCCTCTCCTCCCCCTTAATTCCAGTCTCTCTCTCTCCCTCTCACTTTGTTGCCCCTACAGAAGCCAGTATATGGACCAGCAGTTGGCATAATTGCTATGTCACTGGACTCCTATGTAGTCGACCATGGTTCAAGTCCCGGACCTGGTGGCTTAAACTCACACCGGGCGCATGTGCGTGTGTGCCCAGGATCCCAAGAGGAGAATGGAGGAGAAGGGATTGTGGCGTAGCCATCCTTCCTGGGGGGGGGGGTGGTTTCTCACTTTCTGTCTCTCTGTCTTTCTGCAAGGGGGTGTGGCGGCCCCCCCCTGGCCGGGGGGGGGTGGGTGATTTCTCACTTTCTGTCTCTCTGTCTTTCTGCAAGTACACACTCCCTATAGCAAAAACCTCTCCAAAAAAAAAAGAAGCAGCAGCAGCAGCCAGTATATACTAATGCTGATGTAACAAATTGCCTCGAAATTAGTGGCTTAAAGCAATACTGATTTATTACTTAGGTCTGGAGGTCAAAGTCCTAAAATAAGGTTTTGGCAGGCTTGCATTCCTTCTGCAGGCTGGAGAGGAGAATCATTCTGTGACTTTTTCTTGCTTCTAGAGACCTGCATTCCTTGGCTCCCAGCCTCTTCCTCCAGCATCAAGCCCATAAGTCTTTCTCACACTGCTTCACTCTAACAGGCTCCTTCTGTAGTCAGGCCTCTGCCTCCTCCTCGTGAGAACACCTGTGATGACATCGGGCACACCTGGATAGCCTCCCCCTCTCAAGATCCTTCACCAAGTCATATCTGCCAAGTCCCTTTTTCCACGTTAGGGAACGTGTGCACAGCCTCCAGGACTGGGACAGTGACATCTTTGGCAGGGCCATTATTCAGCCTTCCACATAGCATAATCTTTTAAAAACACACACCCGACCACACTGCCGCTCTGCCTGAGACCCTGGTGTCAAGCTCCAATTCTCAAAGGCTAAGGCTCAAACTCATCTTGTGGCTGGGAGTGCCATGCTGGGGCTGCCCGTACCCCTCTTCGGGCCTCCTCTCCCCGCTTACGGTCCACGATCCCCAGGCGTGCCTGTTACCAGGGATGCTGCTTCTCCCCACACTCCACCTTAGTCTTCCCTCACCCTAGACGAAGTCAGGCCTCCCCAGGATGTGTCCAGGGGACACTCTGCTATCACACGTACCATTTAACACACAATTTAGCGCCTTTGGGTTTGTAGAGGGGATCGATGGATTAGCATCAGGTGTTCCTCTCATGGTCGCAAGTGCTCTGTACGGGCAGGAGCCGTACCTCTTGCCCACAGCTGCATCTCTGGCTCAGTGCCTGACGTGCAGTCGCGGGCAAGAAATGACACGTCTGGTGGTACTGGGAAACAGATGAGTGCATGAGTGAGTGTCGCCAGCACTGCCATACCGCTCTACCCCCTTTGCCCTGCAGTCTCTTCTGCGTAGCATTTCTTTTTCTTTCTTGCTTTTTTCTTTCTTTCTTTTCTTTCCTTTTTTTTTTTTTTTTTTTTTTGGGAAGATTTTTTTTGCTATAGGGCACAAGCACTCGCCAGAAAGACAGAGAGAGACAGAGAGACAGACAGAAAGCGAGAAATCACCCCCCAGGGGGGGATGGCCACACCGCAATCCCTTCTCCTCCATTCTCCTCTCGGGATCTTGGGCACGCACGCACACACGCCCAGCATGAGTTTAAGCCACCGGGTCCAAGACTCGAACCACAGTCGACTATGTGGGAGTCCAGCAACATAGCCATTACACTAACTGCTGGTCTCCTACGTATCATTTCTCACTGTCTATCGCTGCCTCCCTTCCCTGGCAGGGAAGGTCTGTGGGAGCACGGCTTTGTCTCCTCTCCCTCCTCCCAGGCCCAGAGCAGCATCTGGTCCATAACAGGTGCTCAACAATTGTTTGGGGGACGAGTGGTCCGCAGGATGCTCAGAATCTCTCACAGAGCTTACATATTTGACCCCTCTTTGAAATTGGGTATTATCAAGTTCTTTTTAGTTATTCAACCTAATTCAGTCATCAGGAAATGTAGAAGAGATCTAAAATGTTCACCTGTTGTTGTGAGGATTAAATGAGCCAATTTACATGAACAGTTTAGAATGTGTCTGGCAACAACAGCCCTGTGTGAGAGTTTTCTGTTAAGGAATCCTTGATATTTTGTTGCTGGGACCAGCAGATGGCATAATGGTTAACGTCATTGGACTCTCATGTAGATGACCGTGGTTCAAGTCCTGGATCTGGTAGCTTAAAACCTACACTAGATGTGTGTGCATGCATGTCCAAGATCCCAAGAGGAGAATGGAGGGGAAGGGATTGTGGCATGGCCATCCCCCCCGGGGGGGAGGGGGTGATTTCTTGCTTTCTGTCCTTCTTGGTCTCTCTCTGTCTCTCTGATAAGTACATGAACCCTATAGGAAAAATCTCTCTCTGGAAAAAAACGAGTGTTTGCTGACTTTGCTGGCTGAGGTGGGACAGCCATAGCTGTGGATAGCTCTGTAGGAAGTGGCACTGGAGAGTGCTCCTGGCCTTGGCTGGAGGGCAGGACGCAGGTCTTCTAGCTGCACAAGGACAGGTCAGTCTTGGGGTTGAGGGGTGATCTGTTCCATCACTTACATTTTTTCTTGTCTTGCCTGCAGGTGGCAGCACGCCCTGGACCTCCCTGCATTGCAGGCCGTCCTGAGGCTGGACAGCAAGGACACAAGAAAATGGACTCTCTCCTCCTGAAGACCTGAATGCCAGCTGCCAGCCACTAGCCATGGTGAGTGTAGAGCTTGACTGGAGTTTTTCTTTTATGGGTTCTACATTATTTGTTTTTCAGTATAGGAAAAACATATGTTGGAGTTTGAAGTAGTTTGTTGATTTTCAGTTTGTTTCAAAAACAGAGAACGATAGCCGTAAAACCAGAATTGTGCCTAAAATGTTGCAAAGATGAGGGACAAGGGGTTGTCCTCTGCATTTTAAGTGTGACACCCCTCCCTGTCTGCACCCTGGGCCCCTACCCTTGCTATCCAGGGAGAGGCTACTCACCCAGAATAAATCAGCAAGTGTTGGGGGGGGCCTGAAGTGGGAGATGTTCTTTGCAGGGACCCCATGGTCCTTCTTCCAGTTGCTCACAGGGTGGACTGTTCACATCCAGCCGGAGAGCCATGCCAGGCCTGCACAGCCCAGGGCTTCTGTCTGCCTGCCCAGATCTGGCCTCTGACCCTCTCTTGTCCCACACCTTTTAACTTCATAGCTCTCTCATCTTTATCCAAAGACCCTATTTGCACTGCAGTCTGAGAAGTAGCATGGGATTGTTTATGTTCTATTTTGATCCCCCTAACAGCTTGGCAATCAGTTGTTTCATATTTGGGAATAAGGGAGCCTTCTGCTCTTTTTGCCAAGGACTGCTACACTTGTTCTTGGCATTGTGTTGAGGGGTCTAGCAAAGACCCTCCCTGAGTTTCAGCACCAGCTAGATTTGGTGATGTCCTTCCCACAGCCTTGTCGGACAAGGATTCTGTGCCATTTTCTTCCAGAGTCACGAGGCTTTCTTTGCAGGGAACTTAATAATCCCTTGCCCTTCCCCCCAGCCTTTGCCAACTTTGCCTCGCACTGCTTTGTACTTGGGGCTCACCCTATGGAATCACAGACATACGCAAGTGGAATGTTAGGTCATAATTTCACCAAACTTCAGGCCTCTGTGGATTCGTCTATTGTGGTAGGGAGAAGGTGGTATTTTGCAAATGAAATTTACCTCGAAGTATTTTTTCCCCCAAATTAATTGGTATTAAAAAATTTCAAGTTTATATATTTTATTTAAAATCCTGTTCTTTTCTCTTATATAATTGTGTTTCCTTTTTTAAATCTTATGACAATTGACTATTTTCAGCCAATACCTTAGTTTAAAAAAAAACAAAAACAAACAAACAAAAAAACAACTAATACTAGGGCCAGCCAGATGTCCTGGTATTTAAGGTGACTGGCTCTCACATGGCCAAATAAGCAGTTTGCATCCCAGATTTGGTGCCTTGAGAAACATGCTGGGAGAGAGAGAGAGAGAACACACATACACACTAGAGTCCTAAGAGGAGAATGAGGAGAAGTGACTGCGGAGTGTCCGTTCCCCCTGGGAAGTAATTCTCACTTTTCCCTCTCTCTCTGTCTTTCTCTGGTGAATGCATGCACCCTGTAGCAAACAAACAAACAAACCCTAATACTGAGCACCCACTATGTCGCATTGAGCTACAGAGTTTATATCCCATTCAGTCCTTCCAAAAACTGGGAAAAATATATTATTTCACCACTACACATACAGAAACCAAAGCCCAAAGATAAAATTACTTGCAGAGCTAAGATTTACAGAATAAGCCAGGGCGCACCCCCTCCAAGATCTCGGTCTCCCTTCCCTCTTATCAGAACATGAGCCCAACCGCCTGTGGGTAGAAGATGAATCATATTTGTTCTTATAGTTACCTGGAAAGGAACAAAGTGAAATTAATGAGCAACAACATTAAAGTCCTCAAACAACCCTCTTCTCTAAATTTACTATCCTAATTTTACATAATACTGGTTTTCTTGCTTGCTTCATTTAATGTCAGTTATTGGCACACATTGGTAAAATTTGCATTTATTACTGTTTGTCTGACGTGTATCATTAAAATTTTACATGAAAGGTGGTTTTACTGTTTTTCATTTGAAGGACCCATAACATCCTTAAGTTGGAAAAGATTGACTTAAAAATTTGAAAAGTCTTGGGGCTGGCAAGTGGCATGGTGGTTAAAGGCGCTGGACTCCCACATGACCAACCACGGTTCAAGTTTCGGACCTGGTGGCTTGCTTTCTCACTTCCTCTCTCTCTCTCTGTCTCTCTCTGATCAAACTGAAAAATACTGAAATAATAATAAATAAAGTTAAATAAAATAATTCTTTAAAAAAATTTTGAAAAGTCTTTCTCTGCACCTAAGAGATTTGGTGACATGTTTCAGAGACAGATAAACATTAAACTCCCTGGTTGTAACTGTCATAGGCAATTTCTTGTAACTGAAGCAAAAGAGAAATTTCTTCAACCTAAGTCTAAATTGTTATCAAAACCAATTATTATTTTATTATTTATTTATTTATTGGAGGGGTGTTTTTTTGGCTATAGGGTATGTGCACTCACCAGAAAGACAAAGAGAGACAGAAAGCGAGAAATCACTCCCCAGGGAGATGGCCACGCCACAATCCCTTCTCCTCCATTCTTCTCTCAGGATCTTGGGCACATTTGCACACTCTCCCAGCATGAGTTTAAGCCGCTGGGTCTTGGATTCGAACCACGGTCGACTACATGGGAGTCCTACAACATAGCCATAACACCAACTGCTGGTCCCCAAAAACAATTATTTCATAAGCCAGGTTACTCATATTTTAAGTGTCTGCTGATATCTAAAAAGTGTCTGCTGATATCTAAATGCTTATTTAATATTACAGTTAAACTGTAGACAGTTAAGCAAAGCTGTCTTTTGTACCGGAAGTGTCTTTCTCAACACTGTCCAGGCTCTTCTTTTCTGGCCACTCAGGACCAATAGCCTCAGGACATATTAACTGTGCGCTTTTCAAACTGGTAAATTTAAACAACAGTCATATACTCCCTAATGTGTAATTATGGGATGTTTTCTTGCCTTGTCCCCCTTTTTTAAAATTTCTTTAATGAGATATAACTCTCAGACCTTGCAATTTACCCATTTAAAATATACACTTCGATGGTTTCTAGTACATTCTGAAAGTGTGCATGTATTACCAGAAACCAATTTTGGAACATTTTAGTTATCTTGAAAAGAAACCACCTACCTCTGAGTTGTCACCCACCCCCCATTTCCACCATCTCTCACAGCCCCTGGCAACTACTAATCTACTTTCTGTCTCTGTTGGCCTGTTCTGGATAGTATATAGAGTCACATGACATGTGGTCTTTGAGACTAGCTCCTTTCACTTAGCCCTGTGATCTGAACATTCATCCGCGTCATAGCATGTGTCAGTGCTTCGTTACCAAATCATGCCTTGTATGAATATACTGTGTTTTGTGCATTCAACCATCATTTGATGGACCTTTGGGTTGTTCCATGTTCTGTTGAAGAATGCTGCTATGAACATTTCTGTGTACAAGTTTTTCTATACACTATGATTGTGGGGACCAGCAGATGGCGTAATGGTTAAGTTGCTGGACTCCCACATAGTTGACCACAGTTTGAGTCCCGGATCTGGTGGCTTAAAACTCACACTAGGTGCATGTGCATGAGTGCCCAAAATCCTGAGAGGAGAATAGAGGAGAAGGGATTGCAGCATGGCCATGCCCCCCTTGGGAGAGATTTCTCATAGTCTGTCTCTCTGTTTCCCTCCATCTCTCTGGTGAGCTCACGTGCCCTTTAGCAAAAAAAAAAAAAAAAAAGAAAACTGTGATTATGTTTTTGTGATTTTGCCTTATGGTCTGTAATGGGCAAGATCTCTTTAAAAACTAAAGGAAGGGAGAGACCTAGATTGAGGTTGTTTGACATTTGAAGAGATAATTTCTTTGTATAGATATAGAATTGCATTCAGAAGGGTTAACTGTCTAATATATTGAGGTTAAAAATCAGCAAGTACTGAGCCAGCAGGTGGTGTTGCGGTTATATCATTGAACTCCCACATGGTTGACTGTGGATCAGGTCTCAGACCCAGTGGCTTGAAACTCACGCTGGGTACGTGTTTGCGCATGCCCAAAATCCTGAGCGGAGACTGGAGAAGGGAAGGTAGAGTGGCTTTCCCCGCCTGCAGAGTGATCTCTCGATTTCTGTTTCTCTGTCTCTCTCAAAAAAAAAAAAAAAAAAAAGGAAAAAAAGTTAGAAAGTAAAAAAGATCGAATTCTCCATATTGGTTGAGTTTTGTAAGTTCTGTCTTTTAATAACTCTTGTTTGAAAATAGTAAGCAAGAAATAAAAGTGTTGGCCCTAAGGTTCGCCTTGAAATACTGTGGCATTGGTTTGGGTGGAGGGTTGTGCAAGAACTTTTTTCAGGTGTATTTAGCAGGTGTGTGGAAGAAGAGGGCTGGACCAGAGAGAGGAATGAGGCAGGAGGAGAAGCTGGGATGATGCAGGGTGCCATCTGCTGATGCTTCAGTTTCCATGTGCCCCACCGATTAGGGCACGGGCCAGTAATGCCTGTGTGGCTGTCGCTTACTGTCTGGGTAAGGCGATTCATAGCTGTGCACCTCCTTATCCGGTTTCGCTCTGCATCTGACTCACAAAGTTCGAGTGTTGGGCTGTTGGTTTTAGTCAAAGCGGGTACCATGAGGAATGTGTGGAAAGACAAATCAACCCCTAAGACACTTTGCTATACACAGTTCTAAAAACACTTCCGGGCTGTTATTTTTGTTTTGTTTTTAAACACTAGTTAACAGTTTTCAGTTTAACTGTGTTTCCTTCCTGAAATCTTCAAGTGAGACTAATTGTAATTTTTTTTTCTACATATTGTTTTGAGGGAGTTCCTCTGCTTTTCAAGTCTGGGTTGTAGCTAGAGATGCTTTTTTATTTTTCTACATACAGACCAAGCATGCAGAAAGAGGAGTGATTTAAGTTTGTCTCTCATTTAACTTCTGTATCTTTCTATTCCTTTTCTTGGGAAATCGAGAGAGTATTGAGGGCATTTTAACCAATTTTAACCTATAACTTCAAGTGAATCAGTCAGAAGGAATTCATATGCATTTTTAAGTATCTTGGAGGAAACAGAAGAGAGAGAAGTTGCTCTCAAGGAAGCCAGGTTC